AGGAGAGGGCCGATGATGACCAGCGGCCCAGCTGCTGGAGGGCGGAATGGGGGAGCCCCAGGGACGCGGCGCGCGTGGCGGCGCCTATCCGGAAGGAGTGGGCTGTGTAGAGATGGGGAGACAGGTTACAAAGCAGCAGTACGGACTTTAGTTGGGCCCTGAACCAGTTAGATGTTATTGGGAGGTGATCGGGGGTGAGAAATAACGGTCCGTTGAGATCTCCTTTCCGAGAGCGGAGGCGAGTGTACTGCATCATGGATCTGTAGGGACAGGGAGAAGTGTCAGACCGAGCTATGACTATATTGCAAGCGCCTTTGCGTTTGGAATGCTTGAGGTGGAGGTTGAAGTAGTCGGGATAATATGACAGGTCAGAGAAGGCAATGTCTCGGGATGCATTAAAGGTGGCGTGAGAGTTTGTGAATTCGCTTATGCGTAAGAAGCCCATTTTCATGTAGGATGCAGCGGAGGAGAGAAGGTGAAGAGACGGAGGGACTAGACCAGGGCGAGGGATTCCGTGCAGGGGATCTGGCATGGCGATGGATTGGCAGAAGGGCAGAGGCGTCAGAACTCCTGGAATTTAAAGCGAGAGAGAGAGTCAGCAATACAGTTAGGTGACGAGGGACGTGACGAGCAGTGATGATAAATTGTTCAGGACTGAGAGCCATGTGATGCGTCTAAGGAGGGTGTGATTTGGGGAGAGGATGAACGACCTCTGTTAATTATTTCAATGACGTCGAGGTTGTCGCACGTCACGGAAATCCTTTTCCTATGCCACGTATGGTTCCGCAGCACGCAGGCTACGGTCACGGGATATATCTCGTGGAGCGCGGAGGAGATGCTTCGAGGGAAAGCGTCGGGCCGGGGCCCGACGAACCACTGGTCCTGGAAAACCCCCAAAACCCACGGACGGGGCTGCGTCCGTGAAGAACCGCGGGGCATCTGAGACAGGATGATGTCACTGTAAAAAAAAAGAGATACACCATCCCAGCGGCTCTGAAGACGGGACCGGAACGCCAGGTCGGAGCGGCGCCCCGCGTCCGGGCAGACACGTCATTGAGGGAGGAGACGGAGCCGGCGAGGGAGAGGAGTCTGGAATTAAAAGAACGACCTTGGGGAATGATACGGACGGCATAATGAAGATGCCCGAGGAGGGAGAGCAAGGACGCCTCGAAGTGACGGGAAGGCCAAGGCAGACCGGGAGAAAGCGCGGATGCGTTTGAGCTTGTCCAGCGGGAGGGAGGCCTCCATGGCGCGTGTGTCGAGGCGGATGCCGAGAAACTCCAGAGCGTTGGCGGGGCCTGTGGTCTTTCCGGAGTGGAGGAATCCGAGGGCAGAGAAGGCGGGCCTGAGCTTGCGGAGAGAGCCCCCGGAGCAGTCTGAGGGTGGGTCGACTATGAGGGAATCATCGGGGAGATGCAGACAGAGGGGAGCCGCGCGAAATTAAGCAGAATCCGACACGGCGCCTCCGAGAGATTGTTGAACAGAGAGGGACTACTCCGGCAGTCAAAGGTGAGGCGCACTGCGAAGAAGAACTCCGACACCACTTGACCCCTGAACAGCGCCAGTGGTCGGGGTGGATGGCAGCAGCTTGAACGCGTCCGGGATGACGGCCTTGGAGAGCCAGGAGCCGGGGCCAAAAGTCTTTATCAGCCTGATCGCGTGGTCCACGGTAGCGGACTGCAGGGAGAAGGGCGCTGGAGGGAAGGGGCTGTTGATGCTCGGGCGGGCCCGGAGCGGGGACAGGAGAGGACGAGTATGAGACGCTTCTTCCTGGAGTGCTTGCGGGTGGCGATGCCCATCGGGTTAGAGCGAGACGGAGAGAAGGGGCCAATGACGTAGCCCACGGACACCTCCCGCGCCCGAGCCGCGTGACGACTTGGGGCTCACGGAGAGCCGGGAAGAGGTTGCGGGACACGAGACGCCGAGGGACCTAAACAGAGCCTGCAGTCTAATGTGAGGGATTTAAATAGAGCTTGCAGTCCAAAGTGAGGTATTAAAACTGAGCCCGCAGTCCAAGGAGGCGTTTAACTGAGAGCCTGCAGTCCGGTGCGAGAGAGTTAAACGACCTGTAGTCCGAGGTGAGGGATTAAACTGAGAGCTTGTAGTCCAGAGTGAGGGATTCAACATTGCCCGCAGTCCTAAAAGAGGGATTTATAACTGAGAGCTTGAAGTCCAAGTGAGGGATTAAACCGAGAGCTGCAGTCCAGTGTGAGGGATTTAAACAGGTTTTACGGTCCAAGTGAGGGATTAACTGAACCCGCAGTCCAAGTGAGGAGTTTAAACTGAAAGCTTACAGTCCAGTGTGAGGGATCCAACAGAGCCTGCAGTTTTTTTTATTTTTTTTATTTATTTATATTTATTTATATTTATATTTATTCATATTTATGTTTATTTATATTTATATTTATATATATATTTATATTTATTCATATTTATATTTATTTTATTTATTTATATTTATTTATTTTTATATATAAGCGTTCCAGATATAAGCAGTACCATATATGCAGTTCCAATATGAGCAGTTCCATATAAGCAGTTCCGTATACAAGCCGTTCCATATATAAGCAGTTCCATAAATAGCAGTTCCATATATAAGCAGTTCCATATATAGCAGTTCCATATATAGCAGTTCCATCTATAAGCAGTTCCGCATGAAGCAGTTCCAGGTACGGTATAACAGCTCCAGATATAAGCAGTTCCAGATATAAGCAGTTCCGTGAGGGATTAACCTGAGAGCTCGCAGTCCAATGTGAGGGATTCAATTTGGGAGCCGCAGTCCAGAGGGATTTAAACTGGGCTTGCAGTCCAAAGAGAGGGATTTAAACAGAGCTCGCAGTCCAGAGAGGGATTTAAGAGAGCCTGCAGGCCAAAGTGAGGGATTAAAACTGAGAGCACGCAGTCCAATGTGAGGGATTAAACTGAGGTCTTGCAGTCCAATGTGAGGAATAAACGGAGCTTGCAGTCAGAGTGAAGGATGTAAACGGAGCTTGGTTAAGAGAGCCTGCAGAACAATGCGAGGGCTTTAAACTGAAGCTTGCCCACCAATGCACGGGGCCAACTGAGCCTGCAGTACAAAGCACGGGGCGAACTGAGCCTGCAGAACAATGCGAGGGGAATAAACCGTCCGCAGATCTCATACTTACCCACAACGCCAGAAGACAAGGGACAACACAACGGGATCACGCCGTACCGGCACGAGGAGGCAGGGATGCGCACGGCTCCCACCGCACCGGGCCAGACCGGCCGTATGCAGCAGCAGGCCGCGACGAGACGAGCAGCGGCAAACCCGCAGAAAGAGCCCGCAAAGGAGGAGAGCGGCAAAGACCCACGGACCACAGCACGAGACCCGCAGCAGGTGCAGCGACGCGGAGGAAGAGCAGACCACACGCAGCAAGACAGAGGACAGCAGGGACCGCAGGAGTAAGCGTGAGTAGACAAAAGCGATTCCTCCAGAACGATTCATGCAAGGCTTCAGAGGCCGAGAGTGGGAGTTTCTCCGCTTTTATGCGGCTGGCGAGTCGGTACAGATGATTGGAAGGGGGCGTCTGCTGAGCGATAGGCTGGGGATGAGAGCCGGCCTGGAGGGGGTAACTTTGGTTAACGTCTACCAAATTGAATTTTCGCGGGCTGCATATGGCAGAAGCTACCACAGAGTCATAAAAAGTCCTGAGCAGAGGCCTGCTCACTCCGAAGGACCTCAGCCTCCTCAGAAGGACCTCAGCCTCCTCAGAAGGACCTCAGTCTCCTCAGAAGGACCTCAGCCTCCTCAGAAGGACCTCAGCCTCCTCAGAAGGACCTCAGCCTCCTCAGAAGGACCTCAGCCTCCTCAGAAGGACCTCAGCCACACATTATACATTATACACACATTATACACACACACATTATACACACATTATACACACACACATTATACACACATTATACACACACACATTATACACACACACATTATACACACACACATTATACACACATTATACACACTTTATACACACATTATACACATACACATTATACACACACAGACATTATACACACATTATACACACACACATTATACACACATTATACACACACACACACTATACACACATTATACACACACACATTATACATTATACACACACACATTATACACACACACATTATACACACATTATACACACACACATTATACACACATTATACACACACACATTATACATTATACACACACACATTATACACACATTATACACACACACATTATACACACATTATACACACACACATTATACATTATACACACACACATTATACACACATTATACACACACACATTATACACACATTATACACCCACACATTATACACACATTATACACACACACATTATACATTATACACACACACATTATACACACATTATACACACACACACATTATACACACACACAGCATAAACGACGGCGACAGTAGGTCAGTTGGTAGAGCATTGGCCTCTAAGCCAGAAGATTGTGGGTTCAATTCCCACCCCGACACCTCCTCCACCGACTCCCACTGATGTCTGCAGTCGTTGTGTCCTTGGGCAAGACACTTTGCCCAAAGCCCCTGCTGAAAGATCAAAGCTATGCTCACACTTACAGGGCAGGCCGTCATCCTGTGGCCTCACCACCTGCAGAGGGGCTGGTGCCTTGGGTGGCATCCCCCCCCCATCCAATAGATGGATGGACATTATCAACGCACATCAGACACACACATTACACACACACACACACATTACACGCTGCATTTGACAGAACTGGCAACCCTCATTCTGCTGTGATTTGATAAATATGTTTGAAAATATATTCTTTGTATATTCCATAAAAGTCTGAAGCTGAAGTTGGAGCAGAGTTCATGGAGACGACAGAAGTGACAGTTCAGCAGCAGAGGCCCAAAATAGACACACATTTTTAATTCATGACAAACTGACAAACTGACCCTGTGCTCCGGGGTGGGCCGGGACCTGGGTCTAGGCCTGGGTCTGGGCCTGGGTCTGGGCCTGGGTCTGGACCTGGGACTAGACCTGGGCCTGGACCTGGGTCTCTCAGGTAACTCAACACTAACATTACTAAATAAAACAAGAAGTCACAACAAATATTTGAAAAATCTGAATGAATTTTAAAAGGGCCTTGTTTCAGTGCAGAAGGAGCAGGAGGAGCAGGAGGAGCAGGATGAGCAGGAAGAGGAGAAGGAGGAGGAGCAGGAGGAGCAGGAGGAGGAGCAGGAGGAGCAGGAAGAGGAGAAGGAGGAGCAGGAGGAGGAGCAGGAGGAGCAGGAGGAGCTGGAGGAGCAGGAGGAGCAGGAAGAGGAGAAGGAGCAGGAGGAGGAGCATGAGGAGCAGGAGGAGGAGCAGGAGGAGCAGGAGGAGGAGCAGGAGGAGCAGGAGGAGCAGGAGGAGCAGGAGGAGCAGGAGGAGCAGGAGGAGGGTGTGCTTCACTCAGTTCATGTTGGATCAGAGTCAAAACTGTTTGACCTTCACCAGAGGAGCCTCCATCACTGCAGACCTGACTGAGCCAGGACTGAGCCAGGACAGAACCAGGACTGAGCCAGGACGGAACCAGGACTAGACCAGGACTGGGCCCAAACGGAACCTCCTGAACTGGCTCGTCTCTACCTGCAGGAGCAGCGGCTTTAGTCTGAGCTCTTACCGTGTGACTGAGCTCCTCACCCCATCCCCGTGGAGAAAACCAGCATAACCAGAGCTGAGGGAGGAGACACAGAGCTCTGACTGCAGACGCTGCTCCCTAATAACCAGAGGTGAGCGAGGAGACATAGAGCTCTGACTGCAGACGCTGCTCCAAGAACCAAGACCCTGCACAAGACCCAAGACCCTGCACCAAGACCCTGCACCAAGACCCAAACCCAGCAGCGTCTACAGAGTATGATCTGACTAAAAGTGAAAAATGTGTGTATTCCAACAGAGACCGTGTCCTGACGGAGGATGCACTCAGTGAATAACACAAACACAAAACACACTCTCATGAGAGCAAGGAGAAGACCACACCAGCAAATGAACACACACACACACACGCACACAGATCTTACACCGCACACACACACACACACACACACACACACACACACACACAGATCTTACACCGCGCACACACACACACAAAACACAAAACACACTCTCATGAGAGGACTGATGGAGACGACCTGTGGGTGCAGCAAGGAGAAGACCACACCAGCCCAGTCTATGAACACACACAGACATCTTACACCGCGCACACACACACACACACACACACACTCACACACACACACACACACACACACACACAGACAGACACACACACACACACACACACACACTTGCCCATATCAGCTTCATCAGCACCAGTGAGTGGCTCTCAACCTGCACTGATCAATTAATGAGCAGATCGTCTACACACACACACACACACACACACACACACACACACACACACACACACACACACACACACACACACACACACACACACACACACACTCGTAAAAACACCACTCTGAGAGCACTTCACCCAGACTCACATGAGCTGTCTGTGAGGAGAGAAGAAAACACAACTCAGGAAACGCACACATGACACAACTATCATTCTTGTGGATCACACACAACAGATGATAAACAGATGTAAACAATTCTCTTCCCAGTTAGAGCCACGGTTACACAGCGCCATGTTAGTTTCAGATGTAAATCAGACAGAAGATCCACCTGATGCAGCAAAATGTGTGTTTTTGTGTCTCTGTTTTTCCACATGAACAAACTGCTGTGAGCTGCTAAATACACAGACTCAACTGAGCATGTGCGGGAGGGCGGAGCTTACACAGGGAAAGGTGCTGATTGGTGCTGAGCGGAGTGATGGACAGTGAGGTGGGTGAGGGTGAGGTGGTGGACAGGTGAGGGAGAGGTGGGGGTGAGGTGAGAGAGAGGTAAGAGAGAGGTGGAGGTGAGGTGAGGGAGAGGTGTGGGTGAGGTGAGAGAGAGGTAAGAGAGAGGTGGAGGTGAGGTGAGGGAGAGGTGTGGGTGAGGTGAGAGAGAGGTAAGAGAGAGGTGGAGGTGAGGGAGAGGTGGGGGTAAGGTGAGGTGAGAGAGAGGTGAGAGAGAGATAAGAGGGAGGGAGAGGTGGGGCTGAGAGGGAGGTGGTGGACAGGTGAGGGAGAGGAGGAGGTGAGGTGAGGGAGAGGAGGAGGTGAGGTGAGAGGGAGGTGAGAGGTGAGAGAGAGGGGAGAGAGAGGTGGGGAGAGGTGAGTTAGAGGTGAGGGTGAGGTGAGAGAGAGGGGAGAGAGAGGTGAAGGTCAGGTGGGGGAGAGGTGAGGTGGAGGTGAGGGAGAGGGAAAGGTGGGGGTGATATGAGGGAGAGTGAGGGTGAGGTGAGGGAGAGGTGAGATAGAGGTGAGGGGAGGTGGGGGTGAGAGAGGTGAGGGGAGGTGAGGGAGAGGTGAGATAGAGGTGAGGGGAGGTGGGGGTGAGGTGAGGGGAGGTGGGGGTGAGAGAGGTGAGGGGAGGTGGGGGGAGGTGGGGGTGTGTTTCCCGTGTAGAAAGTTAAAAGTACAATTCTCTGCTTTTGAAACCGATGCGAAGCTTGTTACTCACGGCTCCGGTCGCCCTTCCACCTCCAGCTCCTCCTGCCTCCCCCGCTGTCCGCTGGGGGGCTACCAGACGTCCTCACCCCCTCCCAGAGAAGCAGCAGCATCCACAGCCTCCACCCGTCTCCCCCTTCTCCCACCCACATGCCCCGGGACTACAGCGCGGTGCAGGGCAGACACGGCAGCGCCATCTCTGGGCACGCTCCAGAAGCACTCGCACTAATCTGGAGCAGTCTTCCCAAAAACGTGAGACAGACCACTTCACTGGCAAGTTTTTGATTTGTGGAAAAGTCAAAGTCTTTTCGTGACAACAAAACTATAGACAGGACTCATGCCGAAAAATCAAGTGTGAAAGTCATTAGGGACATGTTCCAGTCGTTCCAAACACAATCTGTCTGAAAAACCAACAGGAAGTGAAGATCAAAGGATTTCCAAGTTTAAAAATCAGTATTTTCATGTTTAGCTCCAAAAGAATTCTTCCGAAGCTCGACCAGAAGCAAAACAACGATCGTCAGATTCCCTCATGGTCAAAATACTCATACAAAAAAACAATAAATCCAGAACGTTGATTTAAAATGTAATCCAGAAATGTTTCTTTTTAGTCCAGATTTAGTTCATCTTTGTAAAAGTGAAAGTAAAAGTAAAAAAACACAGAAATGATGGAAGCATTAGTTCCAGAGGAGTCGACCTGAGCTCGTCCTGATCGCCCTGTGCTCGGTGTCCTGAGACTGCATCCTCTCCTCTCCTCCCTCCTCCCTCCTCCCTCCTCCCTCCTCCCTCTCCTCTCCAATCCTCTCCTCTCCTCCCACTCCTCTCCTCTCCTCCTCACCCAGTGTGAGAGTGGGAAGGGGCAAAGCAAGAAATAAATCAGTGAGATGAGACACCATCAGCAGCCTTGACATCAGGACAGAGAGAAGAGAGAGGGGTGAGGGAGAGGGAGGGGGAGGAGAGGAGGAGGAGAGGGGGAGAGGGAGAGGGAGGGGGAGGAGAGGAGGAGGAGAGGGGGAGAGGGAGGGGGAGGGGGAGGAGAGGAGGAGGAGAGGGGGAGAGGGAGGGGGAGGAGAAGAGGAGGAGAGGGGGAGAGGGATGTAGGGAGGACGCGGGAAAGAGAGAGGGGAGAGGGAGGGGGAGAGGGAGGGAGGAGGAGGATAGAGGGAGAGGGAGAGGGAGGGAGGAGGGAGGAGAGGGAGGAGAGGGAGGGAGAGGGAGGGAGAGGAGGAGGGAGAGGAGGGGGAGAGGGAGGGAGAGGGAGGAGGAGAGTAGAGGGAGGGAGAGAGGGGGAGAAGGAGAGAGATGGACGGACAGAGGGAGAGGGAGGGGGAGAGAGAGGGGGAGGGAGGAAGGGCGGGAGAAAGAGAAAGAGGGAGGAGAGGGGGGTAGAGGGAGGGCGGGGGATACCTGTGATACCAGTGATACCAGTGATACCAGTGATACCTGTGATACCAGTGATACCAGGGATACCAGTGATACCAGTGATACCAGTGATACCAGTGATCCCTGTGATACCAGTGATACCTGTGATACCTGTGATACCAGTGATACCTGTGATACCAGTGATACCTGTGATACCAGGGATACCAGTGATACCTGTGATACCAGTGATACCTGTGATACCAGTGATACCAGGGATACCAGTGATCCCTGTGATACCAGTGATACCTGTGATACCTGTGATACCAGTGATACCTGTGATACCAGTGATACCTGTGATACCTGTGATACCAGTGATACCAGGGATACCAGTGATACCTGTGATACCAGTGATACCTGTGATACCAGTGATACCAGGGATACCAGTGATACCAGTGATACCTGTGATACCAGGGATACCTGTGATACCAGTGATACCAGTGATACCTGTGATACCAGTGATACCTGTGATACCAGTGATACCTGTGATACCGGTGATACCTGTGATACCAGTGATAACTGTGATACCAGGGATACCAGTGATACCTGTGATACCAGTGATACCAGTGATACCAGTGATTTCACTACTAAACTGGATGAGACCAGTTAGTTTATTGTGTATAGAACAGGGACTATGTACAAACCATAAGTATTTACAAAAGAAGAGATTTGCACCAGATGTATCTACTGCTACTTTCTCCTTGTCGTCTGCTTTTCTAATAAAGTTATTCCACTGTTTAGCAACAAAGTAAAAAGCTGATTGTACAAAGACCGAGGGTTTGGGCCAGTGTCGGGTTTGAGCCAAATGAATGTGTTCAGAATATCACACAGATCCTGGTCCTTCTCAGATCTGGGACCAGCGGGACCAGAGGCTGTGTTTGTGTCCCCCCTGGCTCCAGCGGGACCAGAGGCTGTGTTTGTGTCCCCCCTGGCTCCAGCGGGACCAGAGGCTGTGTTTGTGTCCCCCCTGGCTCCAGCGGGACCAGAGGCTGTGTTTGTGTCCCCCCTGGCTCCAGCGGGACCAGAGGCTGTGTTTGTGTCCCTCCTGGCTCCAGCGGGACCAGAGGCTGTGTTTGTGTCCCCCCTGGCTCCAGAGTCTAGAGTGGGTAGATCTAAAAACAGCTGCAGATCAGTTTTAGAGGAAGAGACACGTCCTCGTCCTCTGTCCTTTCTCCTCCTCAGCAGCAGTTCTGCAGAGGGCCTCAGGTTACTCTGCGGGGGAGGTGGGAGAGAGGAGGGGGGGGGGGGGGGGGGGGGTGAGAGGTGAGGGGGAGGTGGGAGAGAGGAGGGGGGGGGGGGGGGAGAGGTGAGAGGTGAGGGGGAGGTGGGAGAGAGGGGGGGGGGGGGGGGGGGTGAGAGGTGAGGGGGAGGTGAGGGAGAGGAGGGGGAGAGAGAGGTGAGGGAGAGGTGAGGGGCAGGGAGAGGTGAGGGAGAGGTGAGGGGCAGGAGAGGGAGAGGAGAGGGAGAGGTGAGGGAGAGGGAGGAAGGTGGGGGAGAGGTTGGGGGGAGGTGGGATGGTCCTGTGTCCCATGTCCTGCTGAGCTGAGAGGTGCTAAGACTCAGCGACACAGTGGTGCAGTGGTTACGACCAAAAGGTCTTGGGTTCGATTCGACACGAGGATTTTCTTCTGATTCATCCAGTCTAAGAGACGCAGAGACTTCCCAAAACCACAGTGTGTGTGTGTGTGTGTGTGCGCGTGCTTGTCTGTGTGTGTGTGTGTGTCCATAATACAAACAAATACAACAAAACTGAATTAGGTTAAAGTAAAGTTTTAAATAAAGGTTTATCTCAGCAGGTGGACTCTTTATCAAATCCCTGCCATGACAGGAGTGACCAGCAGAGGGCAGTGTCACACATCCCTGTGATGACAGGAGTGACCAGCAGAGGGCAGTGTCACACAGCGGACGGTGCTCCTGGAGTTCTCTGTTCAGAGAACCTTGAGAGTCCTCCTTTAGACAGGTCAGGATCCTGTATAAATACTTTAACTAATGTAATTAATGTATAATTACACATTCAAATGATTTCATATTCTAAAAACAATGACATTTAAATGTTCTCAAGATCAGGTTTAAAGCTGTGGTACCTGACTTTCAAAATAAAACTGTGCCTGTTTCTTAAAAAGATCCATATTTTCAGACAAAAGTTCCCTCAGCCCAAAGAGTCAGAAATAGACTCACAGGGTTCTTTCTCACACATTACTAATGTGAGAAGTTATGGTCTGTTTGGTTCACAATGTTTTAATTGCTCAGGACTTTCTGTTGGACAAACACAAATTTAGGTCAGTAGTAATAAATAAATAATAATTATAATAAATATAATAATAATTATATGTTTCTCTTAAATGTTTTCTATTTACAAAACAAAAGGTTTCAGCAGCAAACACTTCCACCTGATCACCACCAGAGGGCAGTATCTCCCCGCAGGCTCCAGCAGGCCCTGTGTGTGTGAGTGTGTCTTTGTGCGCGTGTGTTTGAGTGTGTGGGAGTAAGTGTGTGTGTGTGCGTGTGTGTGTGTGTGTGTGTGTGTGTGTGTGTGTGTGTGTGTGTGTGTGTGTGTGTGTGTGTGTGTGTGTGTGTGTGTGTGTGTGCGTGTGTGTGTGTGTGTGCGTGTGTGTGTGTGTGTGTGTGTGGGAGTTAGTGTGTGTGTCTGTGTGTGTGTGTATTGTGTGTGGGAGTTAGTGTGTGTATTGTGTGTGTGTGTGATTATGAGCTCAGCTGAACTTTATCCCTGCTCTCAGTGGGACTAATTACACTTTCCTTCATAAAGACGTCCCAGAGAGGAGCATCGACCGGATCCTCACCCCCCAACCCCTGACACCCTCCTGACCACTGCCTCCTGACCACTGCCTCCTGACCACTGCCTCCTGACCACTGACCACTGACTCCTGACCACTGCCTCCTGACCACTGCCTCCTGACCACTGACCACTGCCTCCTGACCACTGACCACTGACTCCTGACCACTGCCTCCTGACCACTGCCTCCTGACCACTGACCACTGCCTCCTGACCACTGACCACTGCCTCCTGACCACTGACCACTGCCTCCTGACCACTGCCTCTTGACCACCGACCACTGCCTCCTGACCACTGCCTCCTGACCACTGCCTCCTGACCACTGACCACTGCCTCCTGACCACTGCCTCCTGACCACTGCCTCCTGACCACTGACCACTGCCTCCTGACCACTGACCACTGCCTCCTGACCACTGACCACTGCCTCCTGACCACTGACCACTGCCTCCTGACCACTGCCTCTTGACCACCGACCACTGCCTCCTGACCACTGCCTCCTGACCACTGCCTCCTGACCACTGACTCCTGACCACTGACTCCTGACCACCGACCACTGCCTCTTGACCACCGACCACTGCCTCCTGACCACAGCCCCTGACCACAGCCCCTGACCACCAGATGGGGCCTACGTGTCTGCGTAGGTTTCCTCCAGGTGCTCCAGTCCCGCACAGTCGTACACAGAGGACTCTCACAGAGTTCCACAGATTCACACAAACAACTTGTGCTCAGTGGCGCCCCCACACGGCGCCCGAGAGATTAGCAGAACTCGCCCATATTTGGGCATCGTCTGGTCCTCCCGGTTCTGTGCAGTGGACGAGCTCCCATGATGCTTTGCGGCAAACACGCGTGTGTGGCTCTCATGCACGTGCACAGAGGGGCTCGGCCGCACTTTGACCAATCAGAGAGCAGCGCTCTGACCAATCAGAGCTGATCAGAGCGGAGTCAGGGGGGAAGGAAACGAGCAGAGTTTGAGTCAGTGAAGTGTGGAGTTAAAGAAAACCGAAGGATTTAAGAAGAAAAAACATTCAGTACGACAAGGGACACTAAAATCCCCACAAAATGCAATCTTTATGAAAGCTGTAGGTTCTCTGTCAGGTTCTCTGTCAGGTTCTCTGTCAGCCAATGTCTGTTGTCATTTGCGTAGGTTTCCTCCGGGTACTCCGGTTTCCCCTACCACTAAAAATATGTCCAATAGTTCTGGCATGTGCTTCCTGTTCGGCGACCCCGCTCCCATCTCTGTGTGGAGTGAGAGACAAATGCCCAAAAATAACAATTGTAAACCGCTTTGAGACTCTGGTCTGTGAAAGGCGGTATATAAATAAAGCTTACTTACTTACTTACTTTGAGTTCTATGGGGAACATTTCTAGCCTGACTCTGGCCAGACCCATGTCCGCTGCACTTCACACATGAGTCTGGTACTGAGCCACAGTGGTTGGATTTCAGAAGGCAGGGCCTTGTACTTGTATGTGATTGGATAGACCACTTGTCCGTTATCTTGAATGAAGTCTGCTTTCAACCACTCACATGGAAGCACACGGCTCCCATAGGTTGCCAAATCCCAGCAAGATTTTCCAACTCAAAATCCACGAGAAAACCCCAAAACAAAAAAACACAATTTTTTGGCTAAAAACGTAATATAATCAACTTGGGCTATCATGATTCTGTTTATTGTCTTTCTGTTTATTTAAAACCTACAAATATGTGGGAACTCCCAAACCTGGCAACCCTGCTGCATAGTGTGTAAACAGGAACACTGAACCAGTGCTTCAACCAAACTTTACAGGAACATTTGACTCTTAAAACACACATATATCAACATAGAACCATCAACATAGAACCATCAACATAGAACCATCAACATAGAACCATCAACATAGAACCATCAACATAGAACCATCAACATAGAACCATCAACCTCTCGCCTCAAATTGCATTAAAAGTGACCTCCGTGTCTTAATTCGATCGTATTTACTCTTTTAAAAAGATTCGCGGACTTTACGTCCGCCATATTGGATTCCTCTCGCTGCTGCACGAGAGAAGCTTGAGAAGGCAGTGCAAACCCCACGTAACAACGGCAATCCTGATTGGTCGATTAAAGAATAATCTGGGGAAGGCGTTCGCTATGGGCTTGATGCCAGACCCATGTGGTTCAGCCAAACGCCTCTGGTGGAGCATGGCGGAACTACAGGGGTCTGGCAGAGCCAGGCTAGAACATTTCTGAATGGCCCACATGAATTTAGTCTGCACCACAGCGCCCCCTCTGCCCGTGGGTGGGACAGCTAAAAGCTAGTAACACCCTATCCAGTTATTATTATAGATCCATGATACAGACCACTTGCCCCCCCTCTCCCCCCCCCCCCCCCCCCTCCCCCTTGTGATGTCACCGCCTGACTCTGTTCTGGGCTGTAATCAGAGACGGGGGAATAGTGGGCAGCTGGTGCTTATGCATGTTCACATGTAAATAAGTCTCTGATTGAATCTGGGCATCGTCCAGAGCCTGTGCCAGGGGAGGGGGGGGGGGGGGGGGGGGGCAATGCCAGGGAGGGGAGGTGCCGGCGGCGGATGCCAGGGGAGGGGACCACGTTCCTCTGGTCTCTAAATGTTCTTAATCTGTGAGTGAGAAAATGTTCTCGACAACATCTATGGAAAATACACATTCTACTGCTCAGTAACTGCTGATGCAACACTGACATTTCCTCACTGAGGGACCAAGAAAGGACCTTCATCATCTTCATCCTAATCATCAATGTGCAATGAGAAAGTCACACACACACACACACACACACACACACACACACCCACACACACGCACACACACACACACACACACAGGTCAGTCAGAGGCTATTGTCGTCTCTGTTTTCCTTTGTGTCCTATAGCCCCTCTCCCTGCCCCCCCCCCCCCCCCCCTCTCCCCACCCCCCCTCCTCTCCCTGCCCCCCCCCCCCCCCCCCCTCCTCTCCCTCGCTGCTCGCAGGTAAGTGATGAAAGCCTCCTGTAATGGCTGTGGGCCTGTCCCCCGGCAAAGGCTACAGTAAAGCGTCCTGACAGATCCCCCTGTGCTGCTAATATTTAAGTCTGAGTCCACTGAGTTTTACCAGAGAACAGGACGGGACAGGATCGGACCGGACCGGACAGGACAGGACAGGACAGAACAGGACAGGACAGAACAGGACAGGACAGAACAGGTCCTAAATGAGGGATGGAGAGTGGAGCATTATTGTTTAAAGCGTAGTTTTATGGAGAATAGAAGGGACCGGCTGCTGCACCAACTGTGTGTCTGTGAAGGATCGTCTCAGTGGCTCTGGTACGAGCCCTGAGTCATTAGCTCTGCCTCCTGTTTGTTGTTGCTCTTGATGCCGAGGGTTCTGGTCGTACAATCTCTGGTGGGATAGAAATATGACAACTAATTTTTCTCCAACGCCAACGGAGGCTAATCACTAATCACTATGGAAACCCCAAAAATCACCAATTCAAGTTTTCTTAGATTAGTTTAGAGGAGAGTTTCACTATAGGAGAATGAGCACTGTCCAGAAATGTTAATAATGTGTGTAATTGTCCTGGATCACGACTGTCCTGAGACCCTCCAGCACCGACAAGAAACCACTCAAAAACCCAGAAGGAAAAACAATGTGAGAAACCTCGGGGGAGACCCATATCGAGACAGAGATCCGCTCCCACAGACAGGATGCATCACTACAGTCGATAAGTCATTGATACCAGGGACGTGCAGTCAGGGGAGGCAGGGGAGGCAGAGCCTCACCTGCCATTATTGGAAACTAATAATTATTTTAGTTTAAATATATAATTTATATCCACTGTCCTATGCTTTTAATGTATATTCGGCACGGTTCCCATCAGTTTTGATCATTTCTGAAGTCAAAATCGCCGAAATCCCGTTATTCCTATTCAAAGAGACGAGGTGAGGCAGCGCTCCTGCGTGCCTCACCTCAGACCGCTCCCTCACAGTGTGTGTGTGTGTGTCTGAGTGCACTCAGCTCGTGCAGTTGATATATCACCGTTTGTTTCAAATATCCTGCTTTAAAAACATTTTTTAAACTCCTCTTAGTGTTTAGTAGTGTATTGCACGTATGTGTGTACAATTTATATTTAGTTTAAGTCTTTTGATCGTAGATGAACACACAAGGAAAAAGCTTGGCGTGAGGCAGGCGGTATCTGTGCCTCACCGCTAGGGGTGATAGTGAGCATAAAGTTCATACCAGAGTTGCTAACAAACAATCAGCCCAAAATGCTATTTCTTTTGCTGGAAAATGGATGATTTGAATGAAGATTTTTTTTCTCAATTGGACTTTCAAACAAAGAAAGAATTAATATAGACTGGGAGACCACCACTGGACTTACGAGGTTAGTCCGGCTGCGGGGGAGGAGTTTGTTAATCTGTGTTTTATGTTGAACATTGACAGATACCGGCAAAGTAGTGCTTTTCCGAAAAACACTGATTCAAACACTGCTCAAGAGTTCTGCAACTTGTTTAAATTATTGTTTATGTTCCTCGCGTCTCTCTCTCCTCGCGTCTCTCTCTCCTCGCGTCTCCGTCTCTCTGCTCCTCTCTGTCTCTCTCTGCTCCTCGCGTCTCCGTCTCTCTGCTCCTCTCTGTCTCTCTCTGCTCCTCTCTGTCTCTCTCTGCTCCTCGCGTCTCCGTCTCTCTGCTCCTCTCTGTCTCTCGCACCTGCGCTTCTTAAAGATGTTGTTTGATGCGGAGCAGAGTCAGCAGCTAGATTTGTTGTGAGATTATTAAAAGAAGCTGGCTCTCTTATCTTTACAGTATATAAAGTTTGTGGATGTCATTGCATTGGTGATTAAATGCTATTTTATTTGAATAATGATTGTAAATCTGACTTTTAAAGTCAGTGCCTCCCCAATCACAAACCTCACCGCACGTCCCTGATTGATACAGATCCTGCAAACTATGAGGAGATACTGGAGGAGAAGAAAACACAGGGCACAGAACAAACCGGGTCTTAAACAGGACCACACAGTCTATTGTAGAACCTTACTCAGAGAAGGACCATGAAAGACTGGCGGACTCCTCCTTGAGCTGTAGCCTCAAGGAGTCCTGGATCTTCAGCCGTCTGTCTGTGGGAGCGGATCCCTTTCTCAATGTGGTTCCCTGAGGTTTCTCACTTTTCCAACTGGGTTTCAGAGTTTTTCGTCTGATGCAGGAGACTCTGGTTGGACTGACAGAGCCTTTGAGGTCTTACTAAAGGACAATGGTGATGATCCAGAACACTCAACCTTCAACAACACTTGGACATTGGTGACCTGCTCTTTATGGACCAATGCCGATGTGTTTTCTGTTTTATTTCATAGACTGTGAATATTAACAGACGTAGAAAAACCTGTCTCCGTCACTCAAACTAACGTGACATCACTTTGGCTGTTTATGGGCAGTTTCAAAATGGCCGCGGGGGCTGGAAATTACCAGTTTGCGCATGAGTCAGCTGCACCGGGCCCCATTCATTTAACGAGTGCATTCAAAAGTCAACAGTGACTAAGCTAGACTGGTCCAAAAAAATACACTTCTCTCAACGTCCACAGCATCTGTAATGTAGAGGGCCAAGAACCACTTTCGGACCAAGAACCACTTTTGGACCAAGAGCCACTTTTGGACCAAGAACCACTTTAGGACCAAGAACCACTTTTAGACCAAGAACCACTTTTGAACCAAGAACCACTTTAGGACCAAGAACCACCTTTGGACCTTGAACCACTTTTAGACCAAGAACCACTTTTGGACCAAGAACCACTTTAGGACCAAGAACCACTTTTGGACCAAGAACCACTTTATAAAACTGTCCAAGAGATAATCTCCAGTTTGAGCTCCTCCACATGCAGCCTGGATGTACTACCCACTAGATTTCTGAAGTCTGTTCTGAGCAGTCTGTTACCTTCACTCACACAGATAGTAAACATGTCCCTTCATTCTGGAATATTCCCAAAGGCCCTGAAAACTGCAGTCATCAGGCCCCTGCTAAAAAAGAGCAGTCTGGATGCTACGGTACTTAACAACTATCGTCCCATCTCAAATCTGCCATTTATGGGGAAAGTCCTTGAAAAAGTTGTCTACCTACAGCTTACTAGATTTCTTATAATCAACAACTCATTTGATATGTTTCAGTCCGGCTTCAGACCCCACCACAGCACTGAGACTGCTCTCGTTAAGGTTATAAACGATATCCGGCTGAACACTGACGCAGGCAAAGTCTCAATCTTAATCTTGTTAGATCTAAGTGCTGCCTTTGACACTGTCGACCATGAGATCCTCTTACAGAGACTAGAGGACTGGGTTGGAGTCGCTGGCACCGCCCTAAGTTGGTTTAGGTCTTACCTTGAAGACAGGAAGTACTTTGTGGAGATTGGAAACTGTGTCTCAGATCATATGGCCCTGACCTGTGGAGTCCCACAGGGGTCGATCCTGGGACCTCTTCTGTTCAATCTCTACATGCTGCCGTTAGGTCAGTTAATACGCAGAAACAAAGTGTCCTATCATAACTATGCAGACGACACTCAGATCTATGTCTCACTGACTGCAGGAGAACATGGACCAGTGGACTCACTCCTTCACTGTATCCAACAGATCAGTGAGTGGATGCAAAACAACTTCCTTCAGCTAAACGCAGACAAAACTGAAATGATTGTCTTTGGTCCCCAGAAACAAAGAGAGAGCGTCATCTGTCACCTACAGTCTCTCTCCCTAAAACCTTCAAACAAGGTCAGAAATCTAGGGGTAATACTGGACTCAGACTTAAATTTTAATAGCCACATCAAATCAGTAACATCAGCAGCTTTTTACCATCTAAAAAACATTGCCAGGATAAAAAACATAGTGTCTAAAGCAGACTTGGATATTCTTATCCATGCATTTGTCTCCAGTAGGTTAGACTACTGCAATGGCCTGCTCACAGGTCTGTCCAAACAGGCTGTAAAACAGCTGCAGTACATTCAAAATGCAGCAGCTCCAGTCCTGACTATAACCAGGAAGTACGACCACATTAGTCCAGTCCTCAGGTCCCTGCACTGGCTTCCTGTGGCTCAGAGAATATACTTTAAAACAGCTCTGCTTGCAAGGGCGTAGGTTTGCGTGGGGACCATGGGGACATGTCCCCACCAATATTTGGTGAGGACTAAAAAGTCCCCACCAAAATGACATGATGTCCCGGGACCCGGACGGTCCGGGACACATGTCTTCCGTTTGTGCACACGTCGCGCCTCCTCCTCGCCTCCAGAGCAACAGCAGCAGCAGCAGCACGTGACCCGTTCCGTTCTCTGCAGTGATTGGCTGTCTTCTTCAGCGCCAAACTGAAGCACTGAGCGACTGTTTAATTTTTAAAAGTTAGCCAGCGTGAAGCAAGTGTTTTTTTTTGTTCCCTGAGCGTTGTAGCACGTGAGTAATCAGAGGAAAGTACTGTAGATCTATTACCATTCAAAG